CTATACCCGACCCCGGGACTCTGCCCCGGGATTAATTGCTCACACCGTGCACTCGCTCCCTGGGCTCGCGTTAACATACAGCCGTTTCAGTAAACGCAAAATAACATCTAATGTTATGCTCGATAATAATTGCGCGGCTTGACAAAATTGCTCAGCGAGGGTAGCTCGAATAACAAACAATTTATTAGTATTATAGCAATGTTTGAAATTAACATTTATAATAAAGATATTAAGTGCCTATAGAAAATGTTGTTTCTAATTTTCTTTTACTAGAACTTTGACAATAGGTCTATAAGTCAGTCTGTCTAAATATTTTGATACTTTTTTTCGAACTATTCTATTGCTGTTGGCCTGATTGAATGGTGGTTACACATATATTTAAACAGTATTTGAATTCTTTATTATCCTAACCTATAAAAGATACAGTAATCATAATATATAATTGAATTACATATTGTAGGTATATGGTACATCCATGTGAAATGGACGATATGTGACTTAATTTAGTTTATAACGCTGACCTATAGATTTCGTATGTGGCTATAAGCTTTTCCTATTGTATACAATATTGCAAATTGTTTGAGACCGTCACACAATTTGTGAAATTGCGGCTGTCTATCGGTCTGTTTATAACCTCTTCACTACTAAACATCAAGACGGATCTTAATAATATTTGACGTGAGGATAAATGGTATGATGAGGATGGCTATAGACGTAACATTATATAAGATATATAGAGAGCAGACGAGTTCGTGAATCGTAGCTAACAGTTTGTTTGCCGTTTAATATTAAATTACTTAGATAAGTACATATTGATAATTAAGTTAATAAGTGTAAATGGGTAACTAATATTAATTTCCGATTGTGCCACAATACTATTTATTGAATGAATGAGTCTATGAATTGCTAAATGCTAGTAACATATATAATGTAAAATTTGTCTTAGAAATAAAAAAAACAGACTGTACCATTAACAAAAAGAAATTCAGTTGAGTTTCTTGTCAGTTCTTCGCAAAAGAAACTATTGACAGAACAGACTAGACATATAATATTGATTTTGCATTATATCATCAACAGAATATCAAAGCTAAATTATACCTAACATTTTTTTTAATAAGGCATAGGTACATACGTTCTATGTTAAACAAAAACTGTATTGTCGATATGTAATGATATATGTATACCATCTATATAGTATATTGAAATTGTAAAACTGCTTTTTAAGATACTACAGTGGGCGAAATTAGTCAGCGGTCTATTTTCATTTAAAAATTTCTTGATCTTGTTTAAAAATCCTTTCATTATCTGAAAAGTTCAAATTTTGCTTGCATGCTAACTTGAGATTGGTTCAGCCAAGTTAAAGTGCCTAACAAACTCACAAAATTTCTTTCACTTTTATAGCATTAGTACTTGTATACTATCATATACTACAGTGGGTACATTGATATAGATATATATAAATCTTCCTGTACTACTACTTCATCTGTAGGCTTTAATTTTAAAGTAAGACGTAAATAAGCAAAGAGTCAATACCAATATATTGAAATGAATCTCGGAAGCGATTGCAAGTAAATTAGATTATTTAAGCATTATTAAAACTGCATTATTAGACATTTGCAAAAAAATCCTAGCCGGCAGTCAAAGTCGCAGACTTCAGCTATTTCCTAAGCTTGTTTGACATTCGTATCATATAAAAATAAGTCATACTTTGTCACATTGACATTAGATACTGATTTTAAATAGACTTTAATCAGTTAAACTAATAAAATGTTAATACGACAAAATACAAGTGTTTACGAATGATTACATGTGAGTGTACATAATAGATATATTTTTTTCAAGAAAAGCCCTGGTGATTCTATACCTAAACAGAAACACCTTATCAACAATAAAAAACAACCTTTTTACGTGTACTGTAGCAATCGTAAGACACAGACAGGACGTGAATGTCTTATAAGGTACCTATATAAGTAGAGAAAAAAAGAAAAGCTAATAATTTAGCTTATATCGTATCATTGTAGAATAGAATAGAAAATCATTTATTCAAATAAACTTAATTTAAGCAGTTTTGAATAGTCATAACAATTTGTTTTTTATCTACCACTCGTTCGGAAAGCTGTCTCCTCACAAGAAGAAAGAGCAAGAAACTTGTGTGTTGCTCTTTTAAATAATCCTTGTAAGTTTACATTTACAAGTCGAAACGTATGAATACAAACTACCAACAAGCACTAATTTTTTGGGTCAAATATAAATATGCAATAAGATTAAATCAGTCTTAGTGATAAGAGCAGACCAGTCCCTACAAGCAGCACTCGTTCACGAGTAAGCCATCACTGCGCTCGACCATATTTTAGGGAGCCCAATGACCCGGCCCACCACGCCGCCACATGTCTGGACATTTTAGTGATCATGACTACTCATTCCACACGACTACGTCACAGCTACAAAAATTACTATATATTGTGTCTCATACAATACATTTTATCCTTATCTACTCTATTGACTAGAGAATTGTTAGCAGTTAGATTTGTCCCTATTGCCAACAATGTACCTGTGTGTAATGATCCTGATAACCAAAGTTTCCTGTACTATTTAAATCTGTCATGTAGTCTATGATGATTGGCTAATAAACTTGTCTTGATCCTCATCATGTCATGTTCCACTGGTATTCAGCTGAGCTTCGCTTCTGTGAGTACAAGGTGGTTCAGTAGGTAATTCATAATTACCGACCAAAAAGAACAAGAAGAACTATGCATACTTATTTATATCATAAATTTTAAAGCGTCTTTGTTTGTTTATAACCTTGTACCATCAAAAGCAAATCTGACTTCAATGATACTTGACGTGAAAATAGATAATAGGACACACATAGACTATATGTAAAAAAGTAGACGAAGTCGCGAATTGCCTATGAGTTGATTTGATGTATTTTTATTGTAGGTATAGTAAATTTTACTGTCACTGAAGTCAATACCTTGGCTATGCGAACATACCTACGAACCTACCACAAAGGAATCTCTCGGAAGCGTCACGACCCAGTTCAGTATACGATGCGAGAGGTATTAAGTGCTTATTTACTGGACTATCTAAGCATGCCTAATGACCGAATTTTCAGTACCAGTTTCAGCGTTAAATCGGAATTTCAGTTCCAGCAGTAATTGTCTGAAACAAAGTCAATAGGTACTGGCAACACACTATGACCGTTTTATTTTTAGTCTGGAATGACTGATAGGCCATAGTCTTAGCGCCTGCGATGTGAATACCAATGGCAGTTTCGTTTTAATAAATAATAACCCTGAACAATTCATACAGCTCCATCTAGTTCCAAGCTAAGCAGAGTTTGTGTCATGTGTACCTAAGTACAAGGCAACTAATTGAAATACTTAAATATATCTTTTGTAAATAGACACAGAATTGTATATATACTCATATAATAGACCTGAGATCAAAAGTAAAGCGGTGTGCTAAACAGCTAGACCGACCGAGCTTACATATACTCTAAAAGGAAAAGGTAAAGGTTGGAAACGGTGTGATTTCAGGTACTACGGATCAAATTTTAAAAAATATTTTATTGTTAGAAAGAGCCTATTTATAGAATAAGGGATACCTATAGGATACATAAGATAGCGCTACGAGCGTAGCTGTAATTGAAAAATTTTGCAAGTACGGAAAATATTTGTATTTAATATTTCCGTAAGTGCTGCCGCTACCACATTGGACGCCGTTGTATTTACCCACTTTAAGCACAAAATATATTATTATAATAGCATTTAATATAAAGGCCTAGATTCTAATTCTCCATGGACTAGCACCTACGTTGCTTTGTCGACAATATTTTTTTTTTATCATAGTCCCACATTCATTTTCATCGGATAGTAACAGGACATAGTGAATTCTCCATGATAAGTTAACTGAATTGATTTCATCTTTATTATCATTTGCCATTAGTGTCCCGCCGGCGTACCTACCTATACCTACTGCTAGCGTATAGGCAGAATGAAGAATCGTATATTATAATAAGAAACATATCTATATAAAAATTAGAAAACAAAGATTTACATATTCAAATATGTAATCGTTTATAATATTATCGTAAAAGGTTAAAATCTATCTCAAGTGTGTCTGTCTGTCTATTTGTAGGAAGGGACCTTTTCCTGACTAAAATTTAATATATCCAAGTTTTTTTTTAAACACGGCAATAACATTATGAACTATTGACCCTGGCTTTTTGTGTGTAAATATTAAAATTAATTGCAATCCATTTCACTCATTATTAATGTATATTTCTATACAAATAGTGGTAGTATCTAAGGCGTATAGTAATGTAGGTATCTAAAGCGCTACAGTACAGTTTGGTATAGGTATTACATACTTACATAATTTTATGATATTACAAGTTCCGGCGCTGAAGTACTAATTATAACAGTAGGTAATAACAATTCTTGTGTTATGGGTCTAGTACCCAACTGATATAAATACTTTTTTTTATTAATACCTACTTAATATACCTACGTAGCAAACACCTGATGATACTCATGAATATATACACTTTTGTACCGTGTGAGGAATCGAACCCGCGACCATCGGACATAAAGAGGTGTTCTAAACCGCTAGACCACCGAGACCGTTGTGGTATTAAAATATGCCCTGACAGACTAATTTATTCTCTCAAATTGTAACTTAATAATTTAATGTCAAAACACCAAAAATATGCAACTAAAAGCAAGTGGGTAGATTAATTTTACAAATACACACTTTGACATACAAATATAGGGTAAATAAAGTACCGATCAATGTAAACACAACATATTTTTTTTGCAAATATTTATGCAAATAAACTTTTATATGTTCGCTACCTCTTGTCTGTCTAGAATAGTTATATCAAAATTTTTAGTAAATATTAATTTAAAATTAATAGTAAAACTTTCTAAATAAGATGTTAGGTACTAGGCAAGGTAACTAGATATAATAAGTATGTAAGAAATTTGCGAATTACGTACTTAACATACCTGGATTCGGCTGTGTTTGATAGTTTGGTTTTTTCATCCATTCATAAGGTGAACGCGGCGGCGCCGGCGGCTGTGAGGGTCTCGAGCCAGGCGAGCCTTCCCCAGGACTTGCCAAGTCTCCTCTCGCTGGAGATGGGATATCCGTTATTTCTCTTTCGCCTGGTTCTCTTTTGGGAAAATGATGAGGGTCCGCTGCCCATTCTCCACCTGCGGATGCTCCATTCCACGCACACCACTGTTGCTCCTCAAAGTTCTGATGTTGCCAGCCGTACCAGCCACCGCCGTATTGCCCGCCCTTGCCTTGGTACATGGCGAGGGGATTAACGTAATTCACCATGCTTCGATCACCGTCCTGGCATCGCACATACACTCGCCGTCACAACACTGCAGTATGCACGGATACGAGACACTCGTACGACACGTATCAAAACGCGACTGAACAATGAGCGAGGCGAGCTGAGTCGGTTGGCGTGGTGGGACCGAACAGGAGGGGCGCTACACAGCTGGATCGAAAAAGGCGGATTCGCCGACAACCAATGGCATTCGAGTTTTACTGAGACGGGTTGGGCGAGTGGTTCGCGTGCCGCCCGCCGACTCATGTCCGCGCTGACATAATTTGCCTAATTATAACAAAAATAATGAACGCCACTTTAATGAAGTCAGCCTCTTAAAACATTTTTTAATATCCATTTTAGCAATGCTATTATTATTTATGATGATTTGATTTTATTATATTATGTAAGTACTGGTACATGACCTATGATACCTTCCTAATTGTATACATTTATGAATATAGTAGACAATAGAGTCATTTATAATCATAACTAATACCATAGGTGCACCAATCCAAAAACTATGTAGAATAAATAGTAATTGACTAATATCACTCAGTGTTGTATAATAATATAAAAAATATTATTATTGTATCTACTAATACCTATAGGTATATTATAAACAGATTGTGATGTTATAAACAGGTGACTGTATGTTTGTTTATTCAGAGTATATAATCTCCGGTTCTGCTGATATGATTTTAAAAATTAAGAGAATAATATAAATACCTTTCTAACAGTGAAAGACTGTTAGAAAGATATCTACATTATTCTCGAGTGCTATAGGTTACCTATATAGGTAACATCACGCTATGACTAAGGAGCGGAGCAGTAATGAAAAATGTACCAAAAAATATTCTTTATTAGAGGAGGTCAACGTGACGTGTTATATGTCTATTGTTATTTGGGGTTATTAGTCCACATTAGATTAGATATATGATAGTTTTTGTTTTAGTGGATGGTAAATGATATGGATCACTCGTTAGTATCAGATAGATATAGGTAGGTATGCGCTGGCGGGGCTTAGTGAAAGATTAATACTATGAGGATACAGTCAGATCAGAGTTAGTGCAACATAGTGAAATGACCACAAATTGACCATGATAGTTTCCAAGAAGAGGAATGGAGGACAAACTGTTTACTCATGGCCGGAGTATGAGTGCGAAATACAGGATATATATCTTAGTAGTAGGATACCTACAGGTTCCGTTCTCTTACATACCTACTTGCTAATGTAGGTACCTACATAGGTACAAAATTTAATAAAACAATGCAATATTCAACCTTGATGTACTACTCATACACCTATCATTATTACATAGTATAAAACAAAGTCGCTGTCGCTGTCTGTCCGTCCTTATGTATGCTTAAATCTTTAAAACTACGCAACTGATTTTGAAGCGGTTTTTTTTAATAAGTAGATAGAGTGATTCAAGGGTAAGGTTTAGATATAGATGTATAATACATGTACACACGTGCAACCCCGGCTTTGGGGTGGGTAGCTAGTATTTTCATAAAGAACTGTTGTAAAGTAAATAATATTGGGTATATTATACATATCTATCTGCACGGCTGTTATCCCAGATGAGGCAAATCATTATCAACCATCAATATCGCGCTAACCGCAACACTTGACACGCCCATATTTTCCTGGTATTTGAATTAAAATATTAGGAAGGAGATTACCGGACCGCATTCTAATTGTTATTGGTGTTTAATCAACGGCGAGTGCATCAAAAATATCAAACATTCGTCTAGTGCCTGCAAATATCACATAGCAACTGAGAAATAAACAACTTAAAAGGAGCTGTTACTTGCTTTCATTAAGCTACTAGATATGCCTACCTATCTACCCTGATGGTCCATACAGAGTGTCTATAAAAAGTCACTAGGAATATTTGATTTTTTAATAACATTAATACCAACTAATAAATATAGTTCTCTAAGCATACTAATATTATAAAGAGGAAAAGTTTGTTTGCTTGTTTGTATTGAATAGGCTCCGAAACTACTGGACCGATTTGAAAAATTCTTTCACCATTAGAAAGCTACACTATCTGTGAGTATCATAGGCTATATTATATTTCCAAAAAAATTAGGGGTCCTTACCAAATCTCCAATAATGTAACCCAAGGTGTAAAAAAATTGCACAAAAAATACCTAACACCGCATGCGCTGCGAAAACTATTGATGATATAACAAAATGATGTACTACGACTTTGCAGAGCAGATCATTATCTATAAAAAGTCTCGCGATGGCATGTGTCTATCTATCACAGTTGCGTCACAATAAATGTTTTTTTTGTTTATAAATTTAATTGAAACGCCGCCGCTAGAAAAGTATCTTTATTTTCTATTTTGGTATTAATCCTTATCAAAATAAATTACCTCATATTAACGACTGCTTCAATACCTGTATATAACTTTTTGAATTTTTCCATTCGGACATTCCATTCGAAAGATATCACGTATTTAACAATGTAAGTATTAGAAAAAAAACCTACTCCTCTGTTAGCTATAAACCAAATGCGATGTAGGGGCGTCACTGGGGTACGGGTACACAGGTAGGGGGATACTTGCTAAGATAATACAATCGGGGAAGATAGCGATAGCAGTTGCATCGTCAGGAATTGCTGCAGCTCTCTTAAAGGATGGACAAACTGCTCATTCTACTTTTAAACTTCCGCTATCCGTAAATTTTGAGCAACAATATTCATGTTATGTCCAGAAAATAGGGTCTCTCGATAAATTATTAGAAGATGCCTCATTGATTATGTGGGATAAATACACCATGAGCCATAAAGGCTTTGGATAGAACCTTAAAATATATTAGAAACGGCACTGCTCTCATGGGCGGGATTACTTTTGTATTTATTGGAGATTTGTGACAGACTCTCCCTGTCATTAACATCGTCTCCCTTATGAACTTTAATTGAAAGTTTAAGAATATGAGTGTCGAGAGCTCATCATCATGGAATCACAGACAGTGATTTCCCACAACAACTGCTCAAATTTGGGGAAGCAATTTTTCCCACTTCAAATTTAAACAGAAATTGAGATATCTTTCTGGATCCTAGGTCAAATCATCCAAAATTTAGAAATTTTGATAGATGCTCCATATTCTGACGTCTAGAATTTGCACGAAAAAGGCTTTCATCGGATGTGATCTAGGGCGAAATCTACGATATATGATTCGAAATATGATCTACGAAATAATCTGTTATTCAAAAAGTTCCCGGACAAATAAAAAATTACAGCGTGACTAATATCGAAAACGCAGTTCATTATCCACAGGAATTTTTACTAAACCCTTTTGGACTGCTACCATATGATTTGACGTCATAAATCTGAATTTGAAAAATTCTGACAAAAAGCATGATCCAATCATGATTTTTTAAACGTAAACCCATCAGAGACTGCTTACTAAGGAATTGAAGAACAATTTAATTGTAGCGACCATTACCACTGGCACGGACCACGGCAGCCGTAGCTCATATACCAAGAATATCGATGATCCCAACTGATCTGCAAATACTGTGACGCATGCTTATTCTAAATTCGAACTAACATGAAAAAACTGATAAGTCAAATATTGTGTATTCAGTTGCATAAGTAATAAACACCTAAAACATTATAGTTATATTTGCAACGAAATAAAACAAAAATAGTACACCATGGATATCTTGAAACGCAAAAGAACACAATTTGATCCCAACTGATCTGCAAATACCATTTAAATGGCTTCAATTTCCGGTTAAAATATCTTCTATGTAATAGACCTATCTATGTTTTGATCTTAAAAAACTACGCGGAGTTTGATGCGTTTTTGTTTAAAAGACAAAATAAATAGAGTGACTAAATTTGACGGGAACGTGAAGTCGTGGCTGTTGTTCTGGGGACAGTTCCAGAAAGGTTTAGGATATATAACGTCCAAAACTACTGAACACGGATCTTTAAAGAGACCGATAACATTAATGCAAGATAAAAATCATATTCTACGTCCTGCGCTGTATGATAAACTCCAAACGAAGCACTCGAGACTCTTGGAGTAACAAAAGATAAGTAGCTCAATCTTATTTCCTATATAAATGTTGCCGGAAGAAATACTACGCGCATGGAACAGGCATAGGTCCGATAATAACAAAGGTCTCTCTGAACTTGTCGAATTTTTAAGACAAGAGGTAGAATCGGAAGAGAGAATGCAATTAGCTCGACAAATTTATAACGCCAACAACATCTAGTACAAAGTCCCCTACTTATGTTTCATGTCAGAAACAAAAACACAAACAAAAGAAAAGCGTAAAAGTTCCATAATATGCATATGGTGTGATAGGGATTCGCATGGTAGTTCAGAATGTTATAAGGCGGCGAGAATGACTTTAAAAGAGAGAAAAGAGTATGTTAAATCGAAGAAAGCATGTCCAATCTGTTTAACAAATAATCATCATTTTGCGAAGAGATGTAAAAGTTTCCCAAAATGTTTATTCTGTACGGCATTTTACTATAATGTGTCCGGATATAGATGAACAAGGACAAAAGAAAAAGGAAATATGAATATCAATTTATTATGTCAATTAAAGCCTACAACATTACTACAAACCGTGGTAGTGGTAATTTTCATCAAAATTCGTTCAGTAGTTTTTGTGTGAAAGTTTAACAAACATCCATCCATTCATTTAAGCATCCATACTTACAAAATTTCTCGTTTATTATAGATATTAGTAAGATACTAAATACAAACTATTTATTGTAGATACGCTTGCCTAGGCGTGACGTTCCTCGTCCATCTGCTAAATTTGAAGTAGCGAGAAAACGTTTAGATTCCACGATGAAAAAATTACTGCAATTAGGTAAGGTAGAACAATATGACACTGTATTTAGAGAATGGCTTGCTAAATATTATTGAAGTAGCACCCAATCAAGATGTTAAAGGATACACGCCACATCACGCAGTTAATATTAAAAATATGACATATTTAGAGAATATTGCACTAAAAAAATACTTATATTAACCTAAACTACACCAATTCAATTATTAGCTACTACTTATTTATACTCTACCTACTACATTAATACCTACAAGTACCTAACATTTGCAAAGTTTTATGGCAGCTAATGATAACAACCTACAAAGCAAAAGATCAAAGGCGATGCCGCATTTCAGGACGAAACCAAATAAAGCTATCACAATAGCCTCACATTATCAGTTATCAGGCGAAGTCTAAGGACAATGGATAAAGAACTACAACGGTGATTGGAGTATCTTTGATTGAAAAACAGAGTTAAAGAAATAAAATTCTTCCTCTTCTGAGACAGCAACCCCAGACACC